CTAAACACCCGTTCGTAGTTTGATTCTTCTTGCGCCAAGGGCCTTTGTGTTCCAAGTCCTGGGCCGTTCCCCATCATGGCGACACCTACATCTGCGTCCAACCCAGTTATAGAAGCCTCAAACGGAGGAGAAGATCCAGTTCAATCCTCACGACCTGCTCTTCGAAGGCAATCTTGTGTCGACTCTGCTGCGGAGTTCCACTCGCCAGGATCCTTACAAGAAGAGCTGCGTAAGGCGAGGCTGTACAGGGGTCGACTTCGATCACAGTTGCGAGACACTACTGAGCAACTGAACAACCTCATTGTGTCATCCGAAGATGATGTTCAAGTACATGATGTCCTTGCTGATCGGGAGAAAGATCTCCGGTTGGCACTGGAGGAGCAGGGTGCTTATGTGGTAGCTCTTGAGCTACGGTATGATGAGCTCACCGAAAAGAACTCCCAGATTTTGGGCCGGTCGAAGACGTTGCCTTCTGTTGTCGGTGCTCTTCCTTCTGAGCTTCCAAACCATACACCTAGCTTGAACGGGCATCATCTACTGAACGATGCCAGATTATCGAACACACACTCGTGTGTTTCTTCAGGTCGTGGACAGCGAGATCAGCGAGTCATACTTCCTCGGGTCGACAATGGTAGCAATGTACCCGTCTATGGAGCTATCCTTCCCCCGCCCTGTAGTCAGCCGACATTGGCGACTCCAGCACCTTACCAGCAAGCAGTTCCACGGCCCGAAGCCTTCGTTATGACTCCTGGGGCACCTGTTCCGACCAGGGTCTCAGGTCAAGATGTACGTCCAGTAGATTCTGTTTCCAATGTTGGTGTACCTCCTCGTATGAGTGTTCCTAAGAAGTGTGATTCAGCTGCCATCGGTAAGCTGGCGATACAGTCACTGCGAAAGAGTCATCAATTCTCTCAGCACGTACTTAGGATTGAGGAAGTACTTCACGAAGCTGGTGATGGTTTCTATGATGAAAATGGAGCCTTTCAACCCCACTACGGGCTGAGGCATGCTTGTATTCAGAAGTTCCTTACCACACTCAACCAGTGTCCCGAGGTGATGGATACGGCTTCTGGTACCTATGATGTACGTGGTGACAATTGGAGTGCGATCAAGGAGGCATGTATCAGCGCTTACGGGCGTAGAAGTGTTTTGGTTGAGAAGCTCAACTTCATCGTGTCTGGACTGAGATTCAAGTCAGTGAGAGACATCGAGTCGTACTTGAAAGATGTCATCGCTGCTTGTGAGATCTATCGAGTCGTCTACAGTACCGGATCTACCGATGCCCAACTGATTCAATTTGTGCGACAGATTCTCTCTAAATTACCTCGTGAGATAGTCCAAGGTGTGATCCGCCGCTGTAAAGACAGGCTGGGAACCCTCGAGGGTGACTGGGAATGTGCTGTTCCGGTCCATTCGTCGGGGTCGGTCAACCGAGAGAGTATTGTTGAGTTCATTCGTATGGAGGCAAGATTGATGGAGGAGACCAATAGTATCCTACCGTCTAGATCATCAACTCCTCTCAACGACTCGGTAAAAGCTATTCAGGCTGATGAGACCAGTAAGAGTAAGAGTGATGGAGGTGGTAAGTCTGGGGTGAAGTCTGCTTTCAAGGAGTTCCTTGGTCGTCACCGAGCGGTTTTTGGTGTTACTGGTTACGGTTGCAAGAACAAGGACGAGGTGGTATCTCTTTGTCGACCTGATGCTATTCTATCTCGTCACAATCGTCAAGGACGTGTCTACTACCTTGTTGGTTATCAGAACAGAGAGGTTGGTCTAGCTAACGTATCCTCTCTGCCGGCTCCCAAGTTTCGAGCCTGGGAGGTGGAAGACTACTCTAAGAAGAATGGTAACCGTAACGCTAATGGTGGTGTTCTCAACGGCGACCCCAAGGTTGTGTCAAAAGAAGGGGACAAGCCGAGTCAGGGAAACTAGACAGGATGAATGATGAGAGCCAATGTTCGAATACGATCGAGGCTCTCGGACATCCGGTTCAGTTGACCAATTTTGATGTCATTTCTTTTGTATCCCCTGTACCACCCGAAATGATGTTGAGGGTGATAATTCGTTCTGCAAGCAGTGCAATCGATGCTCCATTCTTGGAGGCTCGCTGCATTGTAGATTCTGGCGCTGGTCGTCCGTATATATTAGTTTCTAGTGTAGAAGATGCTATAAAAGCTCTCGAAGCTATTGGTTGCACGATGAGCTGTAGTAATAGTACTTCTCTAGTGGCTCTAGCTAACGGCCACAAAGTAACCATTCATCACGAGATCGAGTGTGATGTAGCTGTTTATGGTTATAAGTGTAACACAGTGGTATCCGACTTTGTCAATTGCGATCTGAGAGTGCTTCCATCGCCGGGTGTGGTAGGCTGCGGCCAGCTATTAATCCTAGCGGGTCGTCAGCTAATCGAGGGTTGGGGGCTAGAGATGAAGGGTGCGACATATATGCATGTTAAGGGACAATGTGTTTATCGACATAGTGATCAAGCTGTTAATGATATAGACTCTGTGGCTCGGATTACCGATGTTGATATTGACGCTTTGCGTCATACCGGTGACAGTGACAACAAGGGTCCTACCCTTGCTACCCAGGGATGTGTGGAGATTTCGTCAATCGTTCCCACTAAGTCTGACCAGATTCTTCGTGCAGATCTTCGAGGGCACGAGGCAGACATAATTGATGAGATTCTCAATCGGGTAGTCCAAGAAGGGTGGAAGATTATACCAAAAACGAATGGAGCCTACAAAAGCAGAGTCCGATCACTCGTCCCATGTGAAGTCATTGACGTCCCTCAGCAGACTCATGTATGTGAAGTCTGGGTACCCTCCCCCAAAAAGACTGAGCAAAAAGG